GCGCAGTGGAGGTGATCCGGGAGTCCAGCAGCACCACGGGCATGGTGGTGGGCATCGTGGCGGCCGCGGCGCTCTGCATCCTCATCCTCCTCTATGCCATGTACAAGTACCGCAACCGCGACGAGGGCTCCTACCAGGTGGACCAGAGCCGGAACTACATCAGTAACTCGGCCCAGAGCAATGGGGCGGTGGTGAAAGAGAAGGCCCCGGCGGCCCCCAAGACGCCCAGCAAGGCCAAGAAGAACAAAGACAAGGAGTATTACGTCTGAGCCCCGGGCGCCTCGTCCCACTGCCAGCTGCCTCTCCCGGGAGGGCCCGGGAGTAGGGTGCGGTCCTCTCCCTGCCGGGGCTCTGGGGCCCCACTCCGTGGCTGCCTCAGACTTCTCTCACGAAGAGGAAACGCAAAAAAGAAAAAAAAAAAAGAAAAAAGAAAGAAAAGGAAAACCCCGTGCTCATCCCTCTCCTCCTGCCGTGTGGGGCGGCGGCACCGTCAGTCCTGGGGCTGGTCGTCCCTCTCCGCTCTGCGCTCCCGGGCAGGGCACGTGCTCACAGCCCTGGGTTGATTTATTTTTTTAAGGGGAGTAGTTTTATTTTGGTGGGGTTGGGCGGGAAGGAAGGCCGGGGGTTTTGTAAAGTGTCCACCGCTTGTCCTGTTAATTTTCCTCAACTTTTCTTTCTCCTCCCTCTGTCCCTCCTGCCTTCCTTCCCTTCCAAGCCCTCCAGTCCCCACCCCAGGCTTGCAGTCTCTCTGCCCCATCCTCCTTCCCACTTTTTTTTGTGTGTGTCTGGTTTCTCCCTTTCCTCCCTTTGGGTTTCCAGAGTCCGCGGGAGAAGGGGGGAGGGTGGGCGAGCGCCCAGCGAGGGAGGGGGCGGGGCAGCAGGCGATCCCGCGGGCGCCCCGGCTCCGCCCACCGGGGGGAGGTGCCTTCCTGGCGCAGCCGGAGGTAGGGGCTCGGGCCCGGGGAAGCCTGTTCTGTTGTGTGCCGCCGGGCGACGTGCATTGCTGGGGGAACTGCTGGAGGAGCAGGGGGGCGGGGGGTGGGGGGAGGGGAAAGGCAAATGCAGATATATATTAAAGACAAATAATCTAGATACCGCGAGCAGCAGCCTGGGGCACCCGGTGGGCGCCAGCAGCAGGGGGAAGAGCGCGAGGCGTTGCCCTCGGACTGCCGGGGTCACTTCTCTGCCCACGGGCTCCCTGCTCCCCCAATTTTTTCTCTTTGTTAATGTGTCTGAGTCTTGGAAAACACCCCAACCCCGGAAATGTGTGGGAAAAGAAAACAAAAACTTTCCAAACCCAACGGTCCTGTGCAGTTTGTTCAGGGTGGGGGCTGTTGAGCCAGTGGTCCTGGCTCTGGGCCCATGAGAGTTGGTAAGTAGCCCCCCAGACTTTTGGGCTGAGCATGGCTTTGGACTCCTGGGGCGGACTGTCTTTGTCTCGTCCTCACTGAGCGTGGGGGCAGAGACCAGCCCCCGGACTTGCAGGGGAAGGCCGGTCTCTGCCCCTGGTGGGGTCAACCCACCTGAGGACCTTAGCGTCAGTGAATGGAGACAAGTCCCCAGAGGCAGGAGGATCGTGTCGACCCCTAGTGGTGGCGACAGCTCTTGGGAGGGGCAGAGTTACACCTGGGTGGCAAGAGCACCAGCGGATCGTCCATGGTCTCAAGGTGGGTGAATCGGCGGCTGAATCCAAATGTGCCCCCAGTTCTGCCCACCTCCAGAGTCTCTGCTCCTGTCACATCTCTGGAGGCCTGGAGCCTGTCCTTCCCTGCCACACCCTCCTCGTCCACTCTGGCTGACCGTGGCAGTCCCTGGGGCTACAGGGGGAAGCAGCCTCATCCCCAGGTATTTGCTGTTTTGAGGAGAAATTGGAAAGGCCTGGGGAGCAGACTGGCTGAGAGAGGGCTCTGTGCTAAGCCGCTCGGTCACACGGAGCAGACTCTGCAGGTGGGGTTGGAGGTGAGGACCCGAGTGTGCGGGCACCCGCAGGAGAGCAGAGTGTGGGTGGTCTGTACTCCCTGGTGGTGGTGATGGGTCACCACACACTGAACACTCAGATTTCCGGGGAAGTGGGTGTGGGGGGAGCTTATCCCCACCCCCCCCTCCCCCCGCACCCGGGCTCTGCTTTCTTGTGCCCTTAACTGGCTATCAGCTTTCACTGCCTGATTCAGCTTCCCGAGCTTCCACTTCCATCCGAGGCGGCTCTGCTGGCATTTCCCAGTTCCCAAGCCTTAGATGCCTCCTAGGCCCTTGGGGGCAATGCCTGCGGGGGCCCACCCAGGTTGGCTCATCTCCCCATTTTCCCCTCCATCCTAAGATGAAGCTTTTGTCTTGGGACCCGCTCCACTATGGGGCGTGGCCCCAGAGCTCCTTAAGTCCTCCCCCGGAGTCCTATCAAGGAAAGCAGGGTGGTCCACTCCCAGTTAGTTGCCTGGGGTGTGGATTTCCATGGTCTTGTCCTCTCCTTGCCCTCCTAAACCAGCCACCCCGGCTGGGGGAGGCTCTGGTACCCCCATTCCCTCACTGCTCACAGTCTTGGAGCCTGAGGTCGGCACCCCCAAGGTCAGCTCTAATGCCTGTGGGAGCCCAGTGGAGGCCCTGACTCGGGGCCGTCTTGCTGGGACGTCTCATCCCGGTGCAGGCGCTGGCCTCGCCCCTGCGCCCTCTGTTGCTGTCCTTTCTCCCTGTCACCACAAGCCAAAGACAATAAAAACAGGCAGGCAGTAGTTCTTTGGTGTCAAGAAGGAAAGGAACATGCTTGCTTAAGAAATTTCTAGCCCTGGCTGGTGTGGCTCAGTGGGTTGAGCAACAGCCGGCGAACCAAGGGTCGCCAGTTCAGTTCCCAGTCAGGGCACATGCCTGAGTTGTGGGCTGGGTCCCCAGTGGGGGTGCACAAGAGGCAACCACACATTGATGTTTCTCTCCCTCTCTTTCTCCCTCCTTTCCCCTCTCCCTAAAAATAAATAAATAAAACCTTAAAGAAAAGAAAAAATTTTAGAATAGCCCCAAACAGTCTGTCAGAAATAGGGGGCCAGACAGATCGGCAGTGCAGGAGTTGGAAGGGCAGGTGGCTGTGGGACGGGGTGTTTTCCTCTCTGTACGAGGAGGCTGAATGCTCCTGCCACTCAAAGGCTTAGTTGTAAGAAGAAAGATTCCTGGGCCCTGCCATGGACTCAGTTTACCCATCTGTAAGCGACGGTCCCCTCGCTCTCAGCTCCTCTGTCTTAGGCATCTGACATTGAACTGAGCTGGGCCTGAGCTGGGTCCTCGGGTTCTGGCTGGCCTGCAGTGACCCCCAGGAGACTGCAAACAGCGCCTGGCGGTGGCTGGAACTCCAGGCACTCCGCTCCTTGACAGTCCTTACAGGAATGTGTTGGAGGTCCCACCTCAGGGGGACCAAGGACCGGGTGTGGGGAAGAAGCTGGAAGTGAAGTCTGGCTGAAGTCTTTGACCTTGCAGACCTGCCCTGGCCATGCAAGCCCCCCAGGGGAGGGGACAGCGGCTCAGATGGTGCTGGGCTCCTCTGTCGGGATGTCCCTCTCCTAGAGGTGGGTGTGAAGCCCGGGGTGCCCAGGACTGCCCCTCCGCCCTCCGCCCTCCGCACGCGCCCTCCTGGGTGACCCGCCGGCCTGGCTGGGGGCAGGAGAACGGGCCAAGGAGGTCCCGAGTCATGTTTCTGACCTCACTGCCTGAGGCCTCCTCCGCCATGGGCGGGGGGAGAGACCGTGGGGGCAGTTGGTGGGTTCTTCCCCACACCCAGTCCCCCGGCCCCTCCTGCTCCAGCAGCTTCTGGGGCCAGGAGCCGCCTGTGGCTGGCACTGAAGGAGAGGGTGTGTCCCAGGTGAGGGCCTGCCATGCAGGTGGCAGCTCCCAGCGGCAATGCAGGCCTGTGGCCGCCGCTCAGGCAGGACCCGCCTCCCTTCACAGGGTGCCCGCTCCGCCGTGTGATGGTACTGCTCTCTAGTAGCCCCGGAGGGGCAGGGCCCCGGGTCCTGGGAGGTTGTGACTACCCGGAAGGGCCGGGAGCAAGGCCCCTCTGAGGAACCATCTCTCCTCAGCCCTGGGTCCTGCCTTCTGGAAGCTTCTGGACACCCCGGAGCCCCGGGAATGCTGAGTAAGGGCAGGAAAGACTTCTGGGGCTCAGCTGCGCAGTAGGCAAAAGTGGAAAGTCTAGGGTGGGCTGGGGCAACCTCAGTCTGGGGTCTTCCCAGAGGGCGGGCTGGCCACAGGCAGGCGACTGAAGGAGATAACCCCAGAGGCCCTGGGGCTCCAGCTGCTGGACCAGGCCAGGGAGCGATCCTGTCTCCCCAGGGGGAGGAGGGGACGAGGAGCTCTGTCCTATTTTCCCATCAACCTTCTCCTGTGTGCACACGTGTGTACACATGACTAGTCTGTGTGTGCACGTGGAGGCGTGCAGCCCTCCACTGAGGTGCCTGGAAGCAGTGACACAGGCCCCGTGGCCCAGGGACCACAGGACACGGCTGGTGGGGATCCCACCGGGCGGAGGTGGCTCTTGCCTGCAGCCACACCTGTTAGCTGGCACAAGGGGCCTCTGGAGCCTGCCCCGTTCTGCCCGCGGCCCTGCGTGGTGCTTCCCGGACCTGCTGCCAGGGGACCCCGCAGGGCCTCGCTCGTTCTGATCGCAAGGCCTGACGGCAGGCCGGGCGTGTTGCGGCCAGAGACGGGCTCTGGAGACCCGCAGATCAGGACCCGATTCCCGATTCTGCCCCCTCCTACCTGTGTGTCATGGGCAGTCAGTGTCCCTGAGCCTCAGTTTCCCCTCTGTGAAAAAGGGCAAAGTCTGCCTCGAAGGACTCAGGAGAAGACGGAATGAGATGAGAGCCGGATGTGCCCGGTGTGGTGCCCGGCCCGCAACAGGGGCCGGAAAGGGCAGCAGCCTGGGTGGACTCTCCGGGCAGGAAAGCCGGCCTGGGAAAGGGCCACGCTGGCACGGGGCCTGCGCCTGGGCATCCGCTGGGCAGATCGAACAGTCGGCGGGGGCCAGTCCTTTGTTCCTTTATTCACTGTCTTCCCTCCCTCCCACCGATGACCCGCCGCCGGCCCTGTGTGGCAGCTGGGGACATCCCAACCCTCGGGGGGCTCCCAGGTTGACGGGGTCGGAGACAGGCATGTGGCCCCGGCGGTGGGTACGGGTTTCATTCTACCTCGGGCGGGGCCCTGGGGCCCTGGACTGAGGACATCGGCCTGGGTTCAGGAGACTGAGTGGGATCATGGAGAAGGTGGCAGGGGGACTCCAGGGACAAGATATGGGCGCAGACGGGAGTGTGGAGAGGCGTGAGGGGTCCAGAGCCACCTCGAGGTGAGCCTGAGGAGCCAAGATCACAGCACCTGTGCCGGGCCCACAGGCTGCAGAGGGAAGCTGGGGAGGTTGTGGCCATGGGAGATGATGCACCTCAGGCTGGGGCAGCAAGAGTGGGGAGCTCCGGGTGCAGGGGCAGGACCCTCCGGGGCCTGAGCCTAGCTCCTCGTTGCAGCGGGAGTGAGGGTTCGGCGGCCCCTGTCCGGCGCACCGTCCTTCCCCCTTGGTGTGTTGAAGGCGTCTCAGGCAGGAAGAGGCAGAGCGGGGCCCTCTGGAAATCGAGTCCTCTGCTCACCTGCCTTCTGCAGAGGACAGAAGGTTCTTCTCGAGGGAAGACTAAACCCGTGTGGTTTTCACGACAGGATGCTCCCTGGTACAGGGTGCTGCCTTCTTCGCCGCCCTGTTCCGGAAAGACAGGACGGGGTTGGGTCTCGAGGTGCAGTGCCCCCTGACCCCGGACCTGATCTGTCCTGAGGACTCAGGGACACTGCTGCTCTCAGGGGCCCAGGACCAAGCATACGATGGAGCATATGGGTGGGCAGTGACATTTTGGGGCTTTAGTAACAGAGTCTGGGCCAGTGAGGACCCCCAGCAATGGCCATCGTGCCCTGGGCTCCCCACCTTACATAGGGCTACACTTGTTCCCCCTTGACCTCTCCCAAGGGGGAGCTGGGGATGGCTGGGCCACTAGGGCCTCCAATGGTGGAACAAAGAGCAGGGCTCACACTCCACACTGTCAGCTGGGAGACCCAGGCCTTGGCCTCCACTCTCTCAAAGCAGTGCTGTGTGACTCTTGGCCAATCCTATACCTCTCTGGGCCTGTACTTCTGTCCAGTGATGGGGGAAAGTGGCCAGGCCACTCTCTTCTGGGATTCCCTAGAGGGAGAAGATGTTGGTCCCGGCGCTGGGCCCACTCACTGGTTCTGCACGTCTTGGATGGTGTCGGGCAGCGGCAGGTTCCGGGTCTCAGGCAGCAGCAGCGCGGTCAGGCCGCTCAGCACCAGCACAGCCCCGTACACCAGCAGGGGCAGCGCGGGATGGTGTGTGCCCAGCAGCTGCACCAGCGGCCCCAGCATGGCTCCCGCACGGGCTGCGACCTGGCCCAGGCCTACTGCGGTCATCCTGTTGGCACAGGTGTACCTGTGAGGGGCCACTGTGCCCGCTCATGGCCCGGACCTCCCACTCCGGTCAGCCCTACTCCGCCCAGGGAGGTCCAGTGGGTCAGCTGGGCAGGGACACACATGGGCTGCCCGCCGGCCCTGAGACCATAGGGGAGAGAGGCACAAAGCAGGGACATCTAGATCTGGGGATACGACCCCACCATGCCACCCCAGCCCAGGGCAGCCCCCTTCTCGGGCCCAGGCACAGCCTCACCTGAGCACAGTGGGGAAGAGCTCCCCACTGTAGATGGAGATGCAGGTGAAGGTGACGCCTACACACTGAAGCCCCAGCATGGCTAGGCTTGAACGCAGGTACCTCATCTCTGTAGTAGACGGGGTAAATAGGGATGGGGGTGGGGGACCAAGGGTCAGATGAAAACTCTCCCTGACCTTTCAGTGTCTGTGAGTCACTTCCACTTGGGGTCCCCAGATCCCACGCAGGCACCATGTCCTCAGTGACCTCATAGCCACTTTCTCTGATGCCCCCAGTCGGCTCCCCACGCAGACAGCCAGAGCCACAGTCCAGAAGTCCTCCCTGCCCCTGCCCCCGTCCCCCGTGTCCATTTCTGGGTTCTCATTTTATCTCCACAGCGCCACCATGGTGCCTGTCCCTCTCCATCCCTGCTCCCAGGGCCCAGGACAGGCCACCACCACTGTTCCTGTTTGTCCCTGCAGCCTCCTTCCTAACCGGGCCCCTGCTCTGGTCTGGCACACTCTGAGGAGCAGGCACAGGGTTGCAGGGCCTGGCTCAGCACCCGCGCCCCCTGCTGGGAGGGAGCCTCTGGCGGCAGCGGTGCGCCCCAGGCCTGCCCACTCACCGAGGGGCACCAGCACGTTGGGCAGGATGCAGAGCCCGGCCAGCACCAGGGATGCTGCCTGCATGGGGCGGCGGCCCACACACCTCAGTAGCATCAGGGAGCCTATCTTGCCTGGAATGTCAAGGACGCCGAGGAGGACCTGGAACAGGAAGATGTTGCTGTCCAGGGCCTTCAGGTCCAAGGCCAGGCCATAGAAGGCGAAGCCAAAGGCAAACCTGGGGGCGGGACAGGGGGAATCGGCTGAGGAGTGAGCTGTTCCATTGCTGGATGGTCCTCACACCCTCTCTCTCCTCCCCCTGTCGGCTCTGTAAGGCAGAGGGTGATCTCTGCAGACTACATTTCCCAGGATGCTTTGCCAAGGCTGCCTTTCATTAAGATTGGCCAATGGGAGGCACGGATGGGAGGCTTGAGGCGGGACCAGGGGAGGAGCCTGCATATTCCTCCCTCAGTCTCCCAGGTGCGCTCTCTGGCAGTAGCTGTGTCCCCTCCATGGCTCTATCTCCACTCGCCTGGGTCCTGGGTGGGTTCAGCCTCTGCTGGGTGGCCCTGACTCCTGGGCTCGGGGAGTACCCCTCTGTCCTCCCGGAGCCCTCCCAGCGGGGGTGGGAGTGTGTTCTCCGACTGCCCCCTCGGCCTCCTGGGCTGTGCGGCTCTCCCCACTGCCTGTGGTCGGAAACCTCCTTACTCCTCTTCACGGACTCTCTGCCGCCTGAGCCCACCTGGGCTGACCTGCCTGACTGATCGAGGTGCCAGGGCCACAGGGCTTGTCCTGGGGCCCCGGCGGGCCAGCGGGACCAGCCAGAGCCCTGATTCCAAGCTCCCTGGCTGCCATCGCTGAGCTGGGGCCCCGGAGGCGTGGGGGTCGAGGGACACCTACCAGCACAGAGTGGAGGCATAGGTGCGGAGGCGCAGTCCAGGCGTGCAGATCAGGGTGCCCAGGCTGGTGGGAGTCTGGCTCACCTGGAGCTCCTCCTGCAGGGCTGACAGCACGACCTTCGGGCGTGGGGGAGGGCACTGTCAGCACCGGGGCTCCAGGCAGCGCTGCTCTCACAGCCATTATCCCAGGGGCCTGGAGCCCTAGGTTGGCCACCCAGAGGCCCTGTGCAGGGTCAGGGGGAGGGTCTGAGGGGCCGGCCCAGGGGGAAGGCTCCACCCTGCCTCACCTCCTTGGTCAGTGTGTCCTGCGCCGCACTCTTTCCGTTGATGGCCGCCACCCTCTGCAGCTCCCGCAAGCCCTTCTCCAGCCTGCCTGTGATGAGGAGCCATCGTGCCGACTCTGCCAGCCACCTGGGGGCGGGGGGGACAAGTGAAGGGTCACTGCCCGTGGCCCCCAGGGCCTGGCTGCATTGTCGGCCCTGGGTCAGGCCTACACGAGCCTCACTGCCCCTCTTCCCCCTCTGCCCAAAGGGGTGGCCTCACTGCTCAGCGTGGCAAGGTCGGTGGGTGGGCAGCTAAGGGCACTGTGACATGTGGCGGCCGCAGCTACTCAGCCACCCTCCTTCCCCAACAGGCCGTCTTCCCTCCCTCCTCCCTCCCTCCTCCCCCACTGGGTTGAGTTTGGGGGTCCCTGTTCTCCCCTTCCTGCCTGGCTCCTGACCCCATGGCCTTTCCCCTGCCTCTCCTGGGAGCCAGGTCTGGGTGGGCCTGGGTGCAGCACGGTTGCTCTCGCACCCCCGTGATCCAGGAGCACTGTCCTGCCAGCCCACCACAGGCCAGGGGCCTGCCAGGGCCCTTCTTCCCGGTTGGGCACTGCCCACGGGTCACACAGCCCCAGGCTCCCCGCTCCTGCCCCATCAGCTCCGGGGCTGAGCCTTCCTGCCTGAGCTGGCTCCTCCCCCAGTGCCTCTCCCTGCAGGCGGCTTCACACCTGCCTGGGGCTCAGCTTGGAGCAGGGCCTTCCGTTCCCACACCCCAGCCCACTCCCTTCCCCATCGTCCACAGTTCCCGTCACCCAGCGGCCCTTGTACTCCACTGACCCCTTGTCCCTCACCTCGACTTGTCTCCGTGGTCCAAGCTGAGACAACAGCAGCCACCGCCCGGGTGTCATTCGGGGCCCCATCCCCACGGCAGGACCCCGACCCTCACACTGACCTGGCCCCCACGCCCGCAACATCAGGTCCAGACCTCCCGCACTGTCTGCCCAGCTGGCCCGGGTCCCTGGGGTGCCCACTGCTCCCACCCGGCTCCCACCCCCAGGCTTTGCTCCTGGCAGGTCACCAGCAGGACACGCTTTGCCTGGGAGCAGCAGTGGGGTGGGGCCATTTGCATCACACCCACTGGCACCCTGAGGTCCATTGGAGTTTGCAGAGCAGGGGACCGAGGGAGGATTCAAGGTGCCCAGGAGAGGTGGAGCTGACCAGACCCAGTGTCCTGTGGGACCCGGGGGCTGCGGGGTGGGATGGGGGGAGTCACGGCCACTCTGACTCCAGTACCGGTGGGAGGGGCAGCTGCCAACGCCAGGGTCCCTGGGGAGCCCTGGGGAGTTGTGGGTGAGGAGATGTTACATTTTGGTGCCACGACAGCAATCGTGGTGATGTCACACTGGCTGCTGGAAGCAAGAGGCTGGTGACCGGGGAAGGTGGGGCAGGAGGGGATTGGTGGCAGCAGCATTTGAAAGGAGAGCCGTGGGCACCTCGGGCACCCATCCATCCCATCAGGCAGGATGGGAGCAGGGCAGTGGGGACAGGGGTCACGAAAGGTGCTGGGAAGGAAGCGGGGGAAGGATGCAGAAGGGAGAAGAAAGCTCCCTTGAGGAGCAGGAGGAGAAGATGAAGGAGACGCATCCTGGACACCTGGATGAGTAGGCGACCATCGAGGCCTGAGGCCGCCACCTGTGCCGGGCTCCTGTGGCCCCCTCAGCCCTGCACCCTTCACCCCCTGCAGCCCCAGAGAAGTGTTGCCCCCTCCCCTGGGTAGAGGCTGGGCAGGGGGGTAGGGTGACACCCACCAGGAGTACCCAAAGAAGAGGAAGAAGGGGACAGACACGGCCAGCTGCAGCACCGTCCAGTCGTGCAGGCCGTAGGCCACCCCGCCCAGCAGCGCCATGCCGAGGCTGTAGCCCAGGCCGTTGAAGGTCATCGCCAAGGTTCGGGCTTGCTCAGACGTCCACTCCATCACTGCAAGGAGGCCATACAGGTCATCCCTGGAGCCGCCCAGAGCCTTCCCTGCTTGGCCCCAGGGCAGCGGGGGAGTACCTACGCAGAATGGCAGTGTTCATCATAACGCCCGCAGAGGCCACGGCCAGCAGGAAGCGGAACAGGCAGTACACGGGGAAGGTGGGGGCAAAGGCTGTCACCGTGCCCCACACGGCCATGTGCAGGTAGCTCCAGGTCAGCACCAGCCTGCGCCCAAACCTGTGGCACACACACCGGGGAACCAGGTCTGCAGCCGGCCGCTGCGTCGGCCGCAGGGCCTGGACCACCAGAGCCCACCCTGTGCGTGCACGCTGAGCAGAGGGGGATGAGAAAATGACACCAGGGAGGCCAGAGCCCTATGTTTCATCCCTGCAGGGCTTGTGAGCACAGGGGGACAGGAAGGCAGTCTGGGCAGGAAATGAGCCCCCCATCAGCAGGAACACCCAAGCAGCAGCTGGAGGCAGGCACGTGGCCGAGCAGGTTTCAGCGGTGAGAGTTTGACAACAGCACGACCCTCCGCAATCCCCGAGGAGAGTTGGGGAAGTCCAGGCTCAGAGAGGGTCCAAGCCGGCTCAGTGCAGAGCTGAGGGGGCAGGAGTGAGACCCGCGCCCGGCATGCAGGAGCAAGGGGGCGGCGAGGGCCAGGGTGGGCGGGACGCACCTGTCAGAGACTCTGCCAAAGACGGCGGCTCCCACCAGGACCCCAGACAGGAAGATGGACTGGGCCATGGGCTTCAGGGCCTGGAAGTCACACACCAGGTCCCACTGGTGCGAGAGAGGGGGAGCTGAGCTCAGGAGGTAAGGGGGCCCAGGCGGGAGGGGGCAGAGGAGCGAGAGGGGAAGGCCCTGGGGAGCTGGGTGACCTCTAGGGCTGTAGGGTCACGCCCTGTGGGACAGCACCGGCTGTCACCCATTGCCTGAGCCCCTCTATGTCTCCCTTTTGCCTTCCTGTCGGGGGTTAAGCCCTCTCCCCTCACCTGACCGCCCCCCCCCCGCCCTGCTGGAGCTGGTTCCTCTGCCCCCTTCCCTCTGCGTCTGCACAAAGAGCCCCTTCCCGCTGGCTGGGAAGGGCCGCCGCCCCATGTTCCCAGATTTGTCCCGTGACCCCAGTGGGTCGCCTCTGGGAATCTATGGAACATTCCCTGAGCCCCTGGGGCCCGTGGGACAATGGTCTGCAAGGGAGAGAGCTGCCCGGGTCACTGCTGACAAGTGGCAGAAGGGGCACCCTGGGTGCCTGCTGCTGTTCCACCAGCCAGGACCTCTGTAGCTGCTTCCTGCCACCAACCCCTCCATGGGGGGACATGTCCAGGAGGGTGGCTGGAAGCTCACGGCGAGTGAGGGGGCCTCCCGGGACTGGGCCCTTCTGAGTCCTGCCAGCTCGGAGCAGCGACTTTGGCCTCTCAGGTGCCGGGATGTGGGGAGGGTGTCGGGGAGGCCCTCACCTCGGCCACGATGGTGGAGCTGAAGGTGCCGCGGTCGTAGACCCAGCCGTCCACGCAGGGCTCCGTGGCTGCCTCGCTCCAGTGGGCGGCCGTGGCGTTAGGGTCCAGGAGCTGCCACTGAGGCTGGCGGAAGCGGCGACACTGGTGGGGCTCGTGGTTGGGGCCCGGTGGGATGGAGACAGCCAGGAGGGCCTCGGGTGTGAGGGCCTCGGGTGTGAGGGCCTCGGGGGCACTGGCCTGGGCGGTGCTGTTGTCCAGGAGAGGTGCCCAGCAGCGGTGGCCAGGCACGGCACCCGAGAAGTTCTCCAACAGGCTGTGAGTGCTGAGCCACATGATGGGCACCACCAAGGCCACGGTCTGGAGACCCTGGAACCGGCCTAGGCTGCCCACCTGGTCCAGGAGTTCCGAAAAGGCCATGGAGCTTCCCAGGGGACCAGAGGAGGTTCCCGCGTCACGCAGGTCGGCTCAGTGCTGAGGAGGGCGCGCCAAGGACCTGCTTCCCGGCGGCAGCAAGGGCGCCTCCACTTGGCTGACTTCTGTCGGGGGGCCCCTGGGGCTCCACCCAGCCGTGGCCACGCTGATTGGCTGCCCCTGGGACCTGAGGCTGGGCGTGGTGACCCTGAAGCTACGGGCACTTCCCCCGGAGACTCAGGGGACCCTGGATCACCAGGAGAAGATGAACTGGGACGTGCAGAGAGTGGAGACCTAAGTCTTCGTGGCTGGAATTAAAGTGTGACCAGGCGGGACTTGTGGAACGAGGGTCAGAAATCATTTCCTGGTGGAAGTTTAACCCAGATCTGAGGGAGCAAACTCGAAAGACCAGCAGCCCCTGCCCCCCGTGGTCACACTTTACCGAGGGCCGTGTGGCGGCCAGGGTCAGTCCCGGCCTCAAGGGGCTGCAGGCTTCTCTCTCGCTGCCGCCCTGCCCAGCACCCCGCGGCCTCGTCCCTCCTCGTCCAGCCCATTCCTGGCCGGCTGCCCAGCACCGCCCGGTGAGCTCCGCAAAGGTGGCCCGCTCTGTGCAGTGCCGTGCCTCAGTCACCCGGAGCAACCTGGTGGTGCACAGTAGGCACGCAGTCGGTCCGGGTCAGATGGATGACGGAGCGGGTGTCTCGGCTTCTCATTACACACTCAGCCGAGAGTTCGTGGGAACCTCCCGCCCCCGTGTCCAGCGCCTCGTCCAGCTCGCTGGTCGAGTTCACGCAGCCCCTCGGCCCTTCTGCGGGGTCTCGTTTCCATTATGCCGCGGGGACTGTAACCTCAGCATCGTGCCAGTCACTGCAGACGGCCATCTGGTTGTGCCTAGATGGGCCGTTCCTGTGTCCGAACCGCCGCTTCCAGTGTCCTGGCGGGGTCATCCCCTCGGTCTCCGGGAGGGTGCAGCGAGCTCTTCTCATTATCATGGGGACTCGTTCGTTGGGGGTTGGAGGGGTTCGCTGAGTGAAGGTGTCCCGGCTCCTGCTCCTGGCCCCGGAGGAGTGGCCGTGAACACGCGAGAAAAGTCCCTGCCGTGGGCTCTGTGGAAGGACGTGCCGGCGGGGGAGGGGACACAGGCCAAGAATTAAGTGGACACAATGTGCTGAACAGAAAGGGTTGTTCCGCGGAGTGCGGCAGAGTGGCAGAGGGGCAGAGTAAGGGATGGTGCCTCTGGAGGTGACATCAGAAGAGACCTGAATGGGTGGCGGGACACGGCTCCCGGACGCCCGGGCGGAGTGCCTTCCAGTCCGAGAGAAGGGCAAGCGGGCAGGTCCCAGGGTGAGTGCGTGCCCAGGGTGCACGAGGAGTGGTGAGGAGGCCCGTGTGGCCGCCGTGGCGAGACCGACGGAGAGGGCGGGGACACACAAGGGCGGGGCGGCCCCGGGCCAGCACCTGCAGATGCGTACACGGGCGGCACGATGCAGCGACACGGCTGAGAGGGGCAGGGGCCGGTCCAGCAGGGCCCCCGGAGGAGGCAGTGTAAGCAGGTTGAGGGGGAGTCGATGGCCTGCCTTTGCACGTGGTGAGACGGACGTGGCTGCTAGCCACCCAGGTGGGGCCTGGGGTGCCAGCCGGACCTGGGGGGGTGGGACAGGGGCTGCGGACGGAGCATTCTGAGGGCCCAGAGGCCCAGTCTGGGCCTGGGTGAGCTCACCCAGCGGCTGTGAGGTTGCACGCCAGGCCCTTGGTCTCCGATGTTTATTTATATTTATTTATTTATTTATTTTATCGTCACCTGAGGACATTTGCTCAGCACCTTTCAGAGAGAGTGGGAGGGAGAGAGGAGGGAAAAGAGAGAAACATCAGTGCAAGAGAAGAGCATCGTTAAGTTCCTTTCCGTACGCACCTGGACCGGGGACCGAACCCACAACCTAGACGTGTGCCCTGCCTGGGGGTCGAGGCTGGAACCTTTCTGTGTGGGACGACACTCCAACCGGCCACACCAGCCAGGGCCTCGTCTCCGCTCCGGGAGCTCAGGGCGTGGAGGGTCCCGCCAGAGAGACTGTGCGGGCGAAGCCAGCGAGGTAGTCACCAGGGCAGCAGCGGTGTCCCCAGGGACAGAGGGGACAGCATCTGACGTGGTGACGTGCTGCTGACAGAGGGCGTGGGGTGGGGACTGGAACTGACCCCTGGGCGGGCAGCTGGACATCCTTGAGGGCAGGCAGCTGGCGGGCTTGCGGTGGAGCAGGGGGTGGCCCAGATGGGCATGGGGTGGCCTGGGAACAGGACGGAAGGAAGGGGAGGCCGCACGTGCAGGCAGCCCGTGGAGGGAGTTTCACTGTGAGACCGATGGCCAAGTGGTCGCCGGATGGGGAGTGGTCCGGTTCACTAGGGTGATGCCGGCTGCTGCCCCATGCGAGCCCCAAAGGAGCCGTGGCTCCAACACTGCAGAAGTGTATTTCTTGATGGTGGAGCGTTCCGGATGCCTGCAGCCAACCAGTGGGCGGCTCTCCTCCAAGCCGAGATGGGGATGCAGGCTGTCCGGACCTGGGGCTCTGCCCTGGCCACTGGGTGCACGGTGGCTGTGCTTGTGGGTATTAAGCCGTGGAAGGGGACAGGAGGGCGTGACACTTGGGCTCCATTTACGCTCCACAGGTGAGCACTGGCCCCAAGGCCCCCAGAGATGGCGGCCGGTGGGCAGGCAAGGGAGGGAGGGCGCGGGGGAGCAGCCGTCTCCGGCACCAGGTTCTCACGATGGTGGGAGATGCTCCCCCAGTCTCCCCTGGTGCTGATGGAAGCCCCGTGCTCAGGTTAAACCTGGCTACGTCTGCGGGAGGAGGGGGGGCGTGGGGGGAGCGCAGGCCCTGAGGCTGTGGGAGGGGCCGGGGTCCAGCTCTGAGGGGCCCAGCTGCGCTGGGCTGCAGGAGATGAGGCGGGGCGTGCGGACACGGCATGTGGACCCGAGGCTCCTCTGGTGGCTGTGAAGTTGGGGGGCCTGGGAGGCCAGTGGGAGCAGTAGCAGGGCCGGCGCTGAGGAGAGGGCGTGGCAGGGAACTGGGTGAGAATGCAGGCGGCGCCCCGTCCTGCCGCCAGGGCCAGACGCGCCGTGGGCAGGGAGTCGGGCTCGGCCTGGTGGCGATGGTGGAGACAGGTGTGGCGGCTGGGCTGTGCAGATGCAGGGGGAGGGCTGGGATGGCAGACGAGAGGGCAGCGAGGACGTGGGGTGAAGACCCCGCAGGAAGGGAGGCCACGGTGCTGCAGAGCCAGGGGCATCACTGAGTGGTTCCCGTCCAGGTGCAAGGTGGGAGCTGGGTGGAGACGTGTGGGGCGGCCATCACTGGCTTAGCTGGTGACCCTGGAAATGACGGGAGGTGGTGCTGTGGAAGACGCAGCGTCCCCGCCTGGGCCAGCCCGGGTGACCGTGAGGTATTATTAGCAGGAGGATGTCATAACTCCGGGAATGGACACAGGCAGGCTGTTTGTCAACCTGGTTGGGGTTTTTTTTGGTGGGGGAACCTGGGGGTTCGCTGTGTGAGCACATCTCTCTGCCAGACCGTGACTCCTCCCAACCCCCACGTCCTGTGGTGACAGCAGCTGCCTCTGGTCCCAGGCCAGGCAGGAGGAAGGCCGACAGGAGGACGTGCTGTCCGTGACTCAGACAGTCTCTGGGTGGCCTGAGGGGCGGGCTGAATCCAGGCGGACGTCCGGAGGAGGCGGCAGCCACAGCCAGCTCAGTTTGCTCATGCCTCTGGGCTCCCGGAACCTGGGGCACAGCATTAACATAGCCTCTGAGCCCGTCCTCACCTCCTGCCCCTTGTCGCCGTGAGGGGGTTCCTTCGGGTGGGACAGCCCTCCTGAGAGGCCACTCTGGTTTGGCCCCTTGGAAGGCACCTGCCAGCCGCCACCTGTCACTCCTGCTTGGAGCCTTCGAAGACTCGCTCGTGCTCCAGAGACTTGGCCCCGGCGCTGAGCCCTCCCCTCCCGGCCCACCCTCAACACCTTTGCCCTCTGCCTCCCTCGCGTGGCCTGGGCTTAGCCCCAGTGCCCTGCGCCCTGCGCCCTGTCTTCCCGGGGTGCTGTCTCCCAGGGTGCTGTCTCACTGGGGGCTCCTGCCTCTATGCAAGTCCCCCGCTGGAGCAGCTTCTGCCGCTCCGGTCCCTGCGCGCCTCCCAGCAGCCCCTCCCGCCGCACGAGCCTTGAGCTCCTCCCTCTGCCAGCTAACAAGCTGTGAGCTTCCCAGGGCTGTGTCTGAGTCGTCGTGTCCCCAGCTGTGCCCAGAGCAGGACCTGGCGTGCAGACGGGGCCCTGGCAGGGCCGGACAGAGGCCTTGTGGGCTTCCTGGTCTCTAGTTGAATCTGGACTCCCCGGGCCTCAATATCCTCATCTGTAAAATGGGCCTCGTGGCCCACTTGGCAATGTGATTTTCAAAGAAGACATAGTTCTCCAAGGGTCCTCCGCTTCTCTGGCCACCCCAGTGTCAAAGTCAGGATAATTAGACCCCAAACACCAACTCCTTCTCCAGACCCTCTGAAGACCCTCTCATGTCCTGGGTGTCGCTTGCTCCCAAGGGCCCCCCCACTCCTCATAGGAACAAATGTGACCCAAAGGTGGCCACAGGCTCAACTCAGAACTCCTCACGGAACAGTGGAGGGGTGCCTCTCTGCTCTATGAGGATGGTGTTGGTGCAGCTGGTGGTGATTCAGGTGATGATGATGGTGATGGGCAAAGGTCCAATAAGAGGTTTTCCTGGACAGAGAAGCAGCCGACCCCCAGCTGACTTCTGGAGCCGCCGTTGCCACCTGTGCCGCACTGTGTGTGGCACCTGCCAGGTACCCAGCGGGCACTCGTCAGCAGAACCCCTGCTCCCTGTCCCTGGCTCCACCCCAGAGCCGTCACAGGCCTCGGCTGCTACATGGAAATGCGTTGTTCTGCGGCGTCGAAGCCCCTGGCTCTGGGGACAGGCTGAGGCCTGGCCCCCCGTGGCACCCACTGCCCACGCAGAGGCTGTGTGGCAGTGTGGGGGGCGGCCTCGGGCCGCTGGCCCCATGCCATCTCGGGCACGTGGCACAGGCCTGGGGCTGACTCTCTCATGGCTTTAATTGGCTCCCTCGGGTGAGCTGCTGCAGCCCTGACCGCAGCCACCTCCATCTGGGCTTCCCAGAAGCCCCGCCCGGGTGCCTCCGGCCCACTGAACACAGCTCCTCGGTGCAGGCCCAGAGGGGGCGTGGGGCGGCCCCTCGGGCTCCTTCCTCCCCGGTGCGCCTGGCGGCTCCTGCAGGTCGGACCCTCCTTC